GGGGGGGTTATAGGATCCCCATATAGGGGGATGATTTTTGGTAATGTATTTCTAGATCTTCCATCTCATTTACCTCCTGAAGAAGCAGATTCCAATATCTGGGGAAACACGACAGGAAGTGGTCTCCTCCCGCCACCGGCTAGAAAACCCAATAACCAAGTATAGGACAATTAGCAGCTTTTATTGAAATAGAGCGGTGGGAGGGTCTAGGCAGTGGCGTCGCTACAAGGGGGTAAGGGGAGGGCAATTGCCCCCACTACCTTCACCGACACCTCCTGCACCAGGTTCCTCTTGCCGGGGTCCTCATAGGGGATGTGGCCCTCGCTGGTGCCTTGTGGTATCAGCTTGCCCAGCATGGTCCCCTTCTGGCGGATCTTCTTGGTGAGGGCCCGAGTGTCCACGCCTGCAGACGGAGGAAACGTAACAAATCACCAAAGACGAGAGGGATCCACCCCTCCAGAGACAACCAACGGAGCCGCCCCCACTAACCCCCATACCCTGGGGCCACACAATGGAAGAAAGGGGCCCGGCACGTTAGAGGGCCAGACTACAAAGCAACCGTGGGTGAGCTCGGCATCCTCCTGGCGAATCACGTCCAGCCTTGGAGAGCTTGCAAAACCGACGCGGCAAACATCCCCAATGCGGACGCCGTTCCCTTCCCATGGCACACAACCGGGCCGAGGGCGGCAATCCCCAACGTCCTCACTGACTGCGCCGTCCTTACCTTGCAGGCCGGGGATCTCTTGCTCTCTCAGCCATTGGTCCAATGACAGGCTGCAGCTCCAGTGGCTGGGGTGGGCAGAGCATTCCCCCACGATGAGCGCCGCCGCCTGGATCCCAGCAGATTCAAACCACTGCAAGAGAAACAGAAGACCGTGACTGCATGGAGGAGGCTGGACGGGGGACACAGACCACGGCTGCATGGACGAGACTGGACAGGAGACACAGACCACGGCTGCATGGAGGAGACTGGACAGGAGACACAGACCACGGCTACATGGAGACTGGACAGGAGACACAGACCGTGACTGCATTGAGGTGACTGGACAGGGGACACAGACCACGGCTGCATGGAGGAGACTGGACAGGGGACACAGACCGTGACTGCATGGAGGAGACTGGACAGGGGACACAGACCACGGCTGCATGGAGGAGACTGGACAGGAGACAGACGGATACACTCGGAGGAACATTCACTTTAAAGATCAACAAAACTGATCTAAAATTAAAAATGATCCCGATGTACTACAAGAAGAGCCCGGGGGAAAGCGAGGGGCCCGGGGGAAAGCGAGGGGCCCGGGGGAAAGCGAGGGGCCCGGAGGAGCTTTATCATCATAATCCTCAAAAGAAAGTTCACTGGTCCTCATTGGGATGCTGCACCTTTAAAAACACCCGGGCGGGGCCACTCTGTCCAAGAAGCAGAACGCAGACAATGACTATTCCGCACTCTGAACAGGACAACGCACTCCACGGCCTCACCTCGTCCAAGGACAACTACCCCAAGATGCACTCTTATCCTGGACCTCCCGAGACCACCATCCCCCTCTAGGATGAAGAGACCAAGGAGGCCCCCAAACTACTAACCTCTTCTAGAGGGAAGAGACCAAGGAGGCCCCAGACTACTAACCTCCTCTAGAGGGAAGAGACCAAGGAGGCCCCCAAACTACTAACCTCTTCTAGAGGGAAGAGACCAAGGAGGCCCCAGACTACTAACCTCCTCTAGAAGGAAGAGACCAGGGAGGCCCCCAGACTACTAACCTCCTCTAGAAGAGGCTCAGGATGTCCCTAGAGCACCACCCCCTTCTAGGATGAATAGATGGAGGACAACTTCAGACCACCATCCTCCTCTAGGAGGAAAAGACCCAGGATACACCAAGACCACCACCCCAATCTAGGGAGGAGACCCCCAGGATGCCCCCAGACAATCATGCCCCTTCTCTAGGCAGCCGAGGACAACCCCAATGGGATGATGCCCCTTTACCACCCCAGCAAAGTATTGAACCCACCCCCCTGCCTCACGGTGACCTCAATGTGTACAAGGACAGCGACGTCTTATCCGGGAAAGACGAGATTTCACCGCACAACACGCTCAAGGCCACACAAAGGAATTCCAAACACGAGACGTCAGAGAGTGAAATCAGAGACATGGAAACTACAAAAAGAATGTCTGAGAAAAAGTCCAACTTCTGCCGAAATCTTCTGTTCCAGTTTTGGGAGGAGTGGGGGAGGAGTGGGGGAGGAGTGGGGGAG